TTATCACTAAAAATATCACAAGGTCAATGGAAGATGTGAGAACAAAGAGGGGAGCTGACATAGCTTCGGATCACCATTTGGTGATTGTCAAGATGAAAATGAAGCTAAAGAAGCAATGGACAACTGGACAAGCAGCATCACAAAGGTTTAATACAACATCCCTTCGAGATACTGATAAACTCAAGATAACTCTCAACAACAAGTTCGAAGATTCACAAGATCTGCTGGGAGAGAAAGAAACTATTATGGAGAACATTTGGAAAGAGATGAAAGAAGCACCAATTTCAACGTATTAGGAAATGCTAGACTTCAAAAGGAATCATCATCACAACGAATGGATCTCTGTTGAAACCCTGGACAAGATCTAAGAAAAGAAGAACAAAAAGACAGCAACTAACAACAAACGAACAAGAACGGAGAAAGTCAATACACAATGTGAATACATTGAAGCAAACAAGCAAGTGAATAAGAGCATGAGAGCTGAAAATCAGAAGTACGTGGAAGACATATTAATGACAGTGGAAAAATCTGTAACAGAAGGAAATATGAAACAACTATATGACACAACGGAGAAACTGGTAGGGAGATATAGTAAACCAGTCAGAGACAAAGACGGCAAGCCAATCATTGAGATTCAAGAACAAAGAAACAGATGAGTAGAACACTGAGGAACTCTTAAACAGGTTAGCTCCACTGAATTCAACGCACATCGAAGCAGCACACACAGACATTCCTATAGATTTTAATCCACCAACAATCGAAGGAATCAGGCTGATCATCAGTCAAATCAAGTATGCGAAATCAGCAGCACCTTACGACAACCACCTGATGAACCAAAGTCACACATAAAGGCATATAGTGGCTGGTCCTATATCGAGACCACATAGCTTATTCTCGTTTCTGGACAAACCAAATTATCAATTCTCCTCAAGCTATATTTTGATCTTGTTAATTATTCGCTTATCAACCTTGCGTGTTTTAATTTAATCGCATGTGTGTGCATTTCTTATACTCCTCATCACATGTCTGTAACTTATGTTTGGTCTGAACATAAATATCCATTCACGCTTCGCTAAATTGAGTTCACTCACTCGCATTCTTCATTCTGCATCATTTTGATTTGCTTCGGCCTCCCACCAACAATTGTATGAAATACACGTATTCAAATTTCATTCTCGCGTTTCAATCATTCTTATGGAATTCATCACGACCCACCAACTTCCTTGACTATGAGGAAGCTTTTGACAGCGTACATTGAAGAAGATTATGGAAACTTATTCCACACTATGATGTATATGAGAGGATCGTCAACATCATATGGGATTCATAAGACGCATTACATTGAAATATCACGTACGGAGGACAGCTGACAGACACATTCCAAGTAAGGACCGGAGTAAGACAAGTCTGCCCACTCTCACCCTCTCTCTTTCTTCTAGTGGATGACTGGATTATGAAGACCTCCACATTTGAGTGGAAGCACGGAGTGTAATGGACAACTTGGATACAACTAGATGATTTTGAATTCACAGATAACCCAGCTCTTCTCTCCTAAACACACGGTCAAATGCAGGTCAAAACAACCAGTGTAGTAGAAGCCTCTGCATCATTCCGCCTCAACACACACAAAGGAAAGGTCAAGGTCCTCAAATGCAACACAGAGAACACCAAACCAATCACATTTGGTGGAGAAGTTCTGGAAGAGTTGGAAACGTTCACGTACATTAACAGCATCATAAATGAACAAGGAGGATTCGATGCAGACGTAAATGCATGGATTGGAAAATCAGGGATAGCATTCGCACAATTGAAGAACATGTGGAACTCGAAACGACTGTCAATCAACATCAAGGTCAGAATCTTCAATTCGAACGTCGAGACAGTTCTACGGTACGGAGCTGAAACCTGGAGAACTACTACAACCGTCATCAGAAATCTACAGGTATTTCTAAACAATCACCTACATAACATACTCAATGTTCGTTAGTCAAATAACATCAGCAACAGATTACTGTGTGAGAGAACAACCCAGCTGCCATCTGAAGAGGAAATTAGGAAAAGACGCCGAAAGTAAATAGGGCATACATTACGGAAATCAACAAACTGCACCATGAAGAATCGTTAACCTGGATTCTTGAAAGGAAAAAGGGAGGTCAGAGGAAACAATGCGTCGACAATTGAAAGCAGACATGAAAAGGATGAATAGCAAGTGGAAAGTATTATCCAGGACGGAGTTGTATGGAGAATGCTGGTGGGTAGCCTATGTTTTTCCACGAGGTGTAACATGAATAGGTAAACTATTAAGCGATGAATCGAGTGTCACTTTAACTTTGATTAAGTTTCTACACGTCCATTTCATACGATTTTGTTGAATCACATCTCCGATGCCTTATTTTATCTATTGCCACTTATACTGTTACTACTTCAGGATTTCCCCTAACAATTTTATCTCGTTTGGCCATTTGGTCATGGTAACTTGAACTAATGTGCACAAGTACCATGTTCTACTTTATGTTCAGCTAAGTGACTGACATTACTTGATCCGAAATTACAAATAAATGTTTTCTACAAATTTAAAAACTACTAAAAGAAAAGTAGATAAAATTAAACTTTCTAATTATGGAAATAAAGCACACTGCCCCTTCCCCTATTAGCTCTAACTAGTTCAACTTGAATGGACATAAATTTGTAATAACATGCAGAGATATCGATTAGCACAATTAATCTTTAAAAGTGCAACAAATTTATTCTGGCATTTTGGTTTCAAATTATGTAATTGTTATTGTAGAAATCCTATACATCAAATTAAAACTATTTACTAAAATTACCCTGTAGAAATTCTGACGAAAGTTCATTAACTTTTTCAAAAAAATAAATATTCCATATGCCGTATCTAGACAAATTTTCAATGCTCACTTGAATGAGAACTGTTTTTCTAGGAGGAGAAAACGTTTTCAGCGATCATGTTAAGGTAATACATTAATTGTCCTACTGAGTTTAAATTTACTATAGAATAATATCATAAACTAATACTGTCATTAGTATCATTCTTACTGGTTTTCTGTTTAGGATGATATTGTCAGGTAAACAAAACTACTTACTGGTAGTTATTATGTTGTTTAAAGATCGTTAATAAAGTATCTCAAACACTTTTTGGCCTTTGAGTTCACATGTATTCATGCAAACCAAATAAAGAATTTAGTCGTGTAACTGTGGGAGGCTTATTTAAAAATCAGTGAAAGCTGTTTCCATTGGTTAATTGCTTTATTTCAGATTTCATTTCAAAAGTAATGTAAATTCATAGTAGATCACATGCTAAAAACTAGACTTACTCTTGTTAGTGCTTTTTAACAAGGTTGCCGACGCTACGCCCAACCCTTCTCCTTTACCCGGTCTTTGGACCTTCAGCAGCCCTAGAAGAGCAAAGGCGGAAGCCTGTTATCAATCTAAATCTGAACTACAATCTAGCTGCTGACATTCTTGGATGGTGTTTAACCATATAATATGTTAAATTAGGAGACCGCAACCAGCTTTTACGCAACATGTACTGCACGTTTACAATGTAACTGCACACTGACAGTGTTATGTATTGCTGAGGGTTCTAAACGAAAATTATGTCCATGTGTAATGAACTCTCACTTTTGACTATATAAGTGAAAATTTACCAGGAAGTTATTTAAAACTATATAGTTTAGATTTACTTGCCATACTCGACATCATAGAAATATTTTACATCAAAGACGATAAAAAAAACGGAAAAAAAGTTTTTGTAAAATGATAATCTTTATCTATTTACATTAAAATGTTCTTAATAACTATTCCAGTGGATTAAAACTTTTTCAGTTAATGTAAAACAACCCGAAAATAAATAAGTTTTTGAATTTCTGAAAGTCTGTTTTTGAAAAACTGGTGTATTTTTCTGTGAACAGGTTCAACAGACGCATAAAAATGAACTCACTTTCACTTGATCCCTGATAAATTATATCGCTTCATAATTTACATTACAGACATTTAGTAAAACAACCGTTAAAAATCAGAAATCAGTGGACTAGAATGATTATTATTACTAATCACGTGCTTATTAAGGATTAATATCAAGGGATTATTCCAGAAATTCTAGTAAGAACCCGTAAACAGTGAAGTTTATTAATGTTAAATGTGAGGAACCTACCCACTGAAGACAATGGCAAGGGGTGGAGTAATATCTTGAAATGACTGTAGTTAGACATGCACGCCTTTGGTTGGGACTCGGCCGCATAAAGTTTAGGTGCTTACCTTGAAGCCTAAAGGTTCCGGGTTTGGTCTCCCTTAGCGAGGTCCTGCATATCTACTGCTGAGGAGTCACATACTAGAACGAAATGGCTGCTCACTGTCTTGTGACTTTCAATGGTAGTCTAACTAAGAGTTATCCGTAATACGAACTTTAAAGATTCAACAACCTACACAAACCCTTATACGAACACGTCCCTAATAGAAAAACAAATGAAAAGATATAGTCCATTTTTCACTCGGTGATAGCATGAAAAATAATTTTTTCCCAGTTAGACGTTTTCAAAAGGTTAGTTCTTTTAAATACTTTAAATTATAACTTTAACAAAGACACATCTTTAGAGAGTACATTATAAATAATTATGATAGACATAATATCAGTTACCACATTCTGTATACGAATGAGATTGTTATAAAATGTGGAAGGATTAGAAATTCTACACAGACGTAGCTTAAATTCATCTATAAAACTATCTCAGAAATAACTTTGACCGAAGTTTACTTCAATAAATTATTATTGATGGCTTTACTCAATATTATATTTTTGGTACAATATAGAATTCTCAGCACAAAGTCTTTCAACAAGTTTCCTTTTCTTATTTCTTGACTGATTCTTGCGATAAACATTGAGTGATCGCCAGTTAGATATTATCAGCTCAGGAATCGATATCTGAATATTGTATATTATTTTCGACCATATTTCCAACAACCACGATGTCTCTGATTAGGATCTTTTGTAAGTTATGCAGCAAAATGTCAAAAACCTTTCACAAACGCATCTGAATAGGTTATGTGACTAATAGGCATAAGGATGTGTTAAAACAAACAAGAAAACAGATAACTTGTTGAAATATCTAGATGTCAGGAACAGGTAACCCAGATATTCAAGCACATCACCTTGATACTTCATCCATCAGAAATCACAATAAAATGTAATCAAAAAGGTTATATTTTTTAGTAAATTATACCAAAAACCTCATAATTATCTAATGAATACTCGATTTATTTAATCTGCTTTAAAAGTGAATTTCCATTTACTTGATTAAACAAAATTGAAATAATGAAATGGCAACAAATTTTCTTCATTAAATGATTTTATTATTATTGTATCCATGACTTTAGATAATAATCAATGAAAAAAAATACTCTAAATCATTAAATTTTATTAAATTAATAAACAAAAATTTAGTTATAAATGATAAAAACAATCGAATAATTATATCTGCTATAAACAGTCATTTTGTTTTATGATCAGAAGTGTAATATGAATCAATATTAATCAACGGGATAATTTTATTGATCATTTTACTGTAATATAAAACATTTCAAAGTGACGTTTACAAATCGAATTCAATGATGGTACTGCACTGATTTGCATAATTTTAAATAATTTTAACTGATGATTAAAATCGTTTTATCTAAAAAAAAAAGAAAAAAAAGGAAAAAGATGGAAACAGTTGACACTGTTTAAAACAAATATTAAATAATTTTTAATAGTTGAATTCATGAGTCAATTAAAGCTAGACCACCATGGAAAACTTGGAAGCACTGGGCGGCCGTTTCGTTCTAGTATGGGACTCCTCAGCGATGCGCATCCACGATCCCGTCCCCGGCGAGATTCGGACCCACAACCTATCAGTCGCGCGTACAAGCGCCTAACCTCTGAACCACTGAGCCGACATTCAAAGATGTAAATGTCTAGCTTCAGGATCGTGGATGCTCACTGCTGAGGAGTCCCATACTAGAACGAAACGACCGTCCAGTGCTTTCGGGTTTTCCATGGTGGTCTAGCTTCAATTGACTCATCAATTCAACTATTAAAAATCATTGTAATATCCACCAAACCCCTATCTGAAAATATCAAATAAACTATTAAATTAATCTAAATTTGTTGAAATCATCAGATTGTCATCATAAACAGAGCATAGAAATGATCTTGTAAATATTTATATTTCATTTAAAAGCTCTGCCTTATTTAAGCCATTGATTAATGATGTGAAAATTGGATCACCTTGAAATTATGGACAAATATATATATATATATATATATATATATATATATATATATATATATATATATATATATATATATATATATATATATATATATATATATATATATATATATATATATATATATATATATATATATATATATATATATATATATATATATATATATATATTCAACTAATTATAATCATATCAATGAAACAACCTATATTATTAATTTAATCACAATTCGCCTATTGAATATATTTACTTTATGATTAATTAAAAATGTTTCCATTGGATACATATGGAAAATCTATGCAAAAGAAACACTTAAGTGAATTACACATAATCATATAAGTAGTGATTATATTTAAGATGAAATTTCATTAAGTATTTAAATACATTTATCATAAAACATATATACAAATAAAATTAAATTTAACTATGTTATATTCAATTACAATTCAATATTTTAATGAGAATTTTATTCAATAAACAATTGCATAATAATACAATAATGTAACTTGTATTGTGCTATTAATATGTATATACCTTATTCAATTTGTAATAATATTAAAATGAATTTTGTACATTATATTTTATATCTATATGTGTATAAGTATAGGTCATATAATAAAATAACTGAATGATTATTATAGATCACTTACAAATTAATTTCCTCATTTAGCAAATATATGAATAGACTAAATGGAATTATAATAATGAAAAGTTTTATTCCTCATATATAATGACTTAAGATACTAAAATAACAATGTAATTATGTATTCTATTGTTCAATTATAAGTAAACATAATGAAATTAGCTAATGAAGATTTTTTCTTTATAACAAATCTCAGTTTAAATTTAATAATATTTGAAACAAATTGAAATTAAATTTTGTTATTACTAACAAAAAGAGAATGGAAAATTAAGGTGTGACATTATAGTTCATTCAGTATTGATCAGTACGAAATACTGATTGTCTGAATGATCATTTCACAGCATGAATTTAAGAAAAAGAAAGAACAACTTAGAAATGAAATAAAGTGTCGGCGAAAAAACAAATCGAAAGATGAACTAAATGAAGGCGTATTTAAAATAGATATACTATCTCGTGTCGTTTTGGTTTTATTTTAGTTCAAGAACTAACACTATTTTCAATATATTGTCAAGACAAAAACAATAATAATTGACCAATTATAATATTTGGGCTACAACAAAACTATCCAATTTGGGACAAAATGAATGTTTTACTCAATCTAATAGGATGTTTATACATCCGATTGTATAGTAATATATCATAGCGGTTCCAATATCTTAACCTTGATTAAGACATGTAGACACAATACGAATTTAGCAGTATCTCACTTCATAATAAGACGTATATCATAAGAACCACTCTTGAACACTTAACAAGAGAAACGTAGGCTTAATACAACCAACATACAAATCAATGCTTTATTTACCCACACCAATAATGTGAATTCTACTAAAGTATATAAAAAATTATTTTGACTTTCAGATGATATTGATTTTGACGCAGTTATATTTGAACTACCCAAGATATTAGTACGATATTTATTTTTCGATGAAACATTCGTACACAATGGTCTAACTTTGAAATCAGACGGTAAGAAGTCTATAGTCACAGTCACTGACGTCACCACTGAACTATTTGCATAACGAGTGACCTGCTATATGACTTAGATAGTTAAACTTCCTGATCTCTTTAGAGTAACTAGTTTCATGTCTTTCTATCGATTAAGATTTTGATATAATCACCTAAAAATCCCAAATATATCTTGCTGATAAATGCAAATTTTTGCATCTAACATCTAACGTCCAAATATAGTTAACATAATTCTAAGTCACCTATGCTGGTCACCACATTTTTACGTAATTGATGGAATTCGACCAATATACAGAATATGGCAAACACCACGTCGATTACTACTCGATAAGCAATAATCATCTGTGTATAGCAGAAGGTTTTATTCCAATAAAATGGCTTAATGGGTAAAATGGTTTCACTTACAGCAATGTGTATATTATAGATTTATAATTGTTGGTGAGAAAATAACCGTCAGACAGTTTACAAATTTTTGTCGTGCAATTAATTGAATTACTAAATCATGAATGTGAATTGTTTTGAAAATTCTTACGAACCTCTAACCAAAGTTTACTTTGATTAAAAATGAAGAAGTTTCGTTTATTATTCAAGCTTATGGTTTAATTCTGTCATTGTTAAACAGAAAGGCTTAGGTTAGTCATTCGCACAAGCAAGTATAATTTCAAAACCTTACGGTTTTCATTAGTTTTGTTAACAATCTAATGATTTACACATTTAGTTCTAAATAATAATAGAAAAACGGTACAAAATTCCAGTTTTTTTTCATATGAAAGGTATTAAAATAATTTATTAAAGCTGTTACTGGAAAAACTAGACTTAATTTCTAAATCACTGATTTTCACAGTAAAAAATTTGCACACTAAAATACAAAATATTTACGAACACGTTATGTAAACACCCAACTGATTAAGTGATATTAACTCATGCAAAAGCGATAGACAAATACATCTAATGAAAATAACTTAAAGCTACTTCCATTTAGTGTAACAAACTACGCAATATCTGAATAAACATTTTAATTCATTAGAAGTTTCTTATAAAACAACGTCTCGAAAGACTTTAATTGACTCACTAAAACCAGTAGACTTCTTTTGTGAGTCTTTTACTTAGTGAAACTATAAAAATAATGCAAATAATTAATTGCTACTAAGTACACAATGAATTATCAACTGAACAAATGAAATACGATTTTCATTCAGTTACATTATATTAATCTAGTTAACAGAAGTTGAATAAGTAGTTATGTACTAATTAAAAGGGAATAAAACTTGTTTAACTTTGATATCATATCTCTAGAAATCTCAATTTCCTCTAGTTTCTTTTCGGAGAGATGGAGAAATAAGAATAAACTGTTTTACTGGCTCCTTAAGTGGCTTTTTGCATTAACGATTATGTTTATGTATAGAATATTGCAACCCTAATGTTGCTTAACATTATTGCCTGATTCTCAATTTTATCAAGTCTACAGTTCATAGCTGTGCACAAGAATTTCGAAACATTCATTTTGAAGCTTTTCAGTAGCCACTAATGCTTAATGACTGTCAATAGTTGATCAACTGACCAAAATTTATGATAACAATTATCATCAAAATGTACAAAAATTTTCACAAAACTACCTTTCGCAGTATATACATATATGTATACATTTTGCATAGTTTTAACATGAAATATAAGGTAACATTTAGCTTTTAGTCTTTTGATATAAAAATATTTTTGGGGTTAAAGGTACTTTAACTGACCGGCATAAGTGTTGAATGTTTACATTGAGCTTTGAAAACTGATTCAATATAAACTGGATTGAATCCTTTTGTTTCCGGTAAATATAAAGCAATTAGAATAATCACAATTATGAGCACACAAATAAATGGTACAAAGGCAAAACAATCTATAAGCGCCTGAAAAACAAAAAAAAGATTTAAATAATGTTAATTAATGAAATAGAAAATATTTTATATTGCAATATTATTATGACTGTTTTAGCCGATTTCAGGTACAGTTTTCCCATTATTATTGCAGAGAATATTGTACATCAATATTACCGGAGATATAATTATGTGTAATTTATTTTCATTATCAAATAAAACTTTGGAAATAGATAAATAACTTTTTGAAGCCTCGAAAAAGTACATTCATTCTGTGAGGATAATGATGACCAAATCTTAAGTCTTTAGTAGTAAAGAAGAATAATAGCTTAGTGATCCTGTGTCAGTAAATGTCACATTTAAGCCCAGAATTTTATTCATTATAACGTTTTTTTAATTATGTTGCTTCAACTTTAATTGTATCTACAAATAATACAGATTTAACAGACAATGAAGAAATGATGTTAAAGTAGATAATTGGCAACCTTTTTTTTGATTACCGAAGACGACTAAGCTTTTGAATTTCTCTTATTTTCACTTATAATGAAGATAAATAAATTATCATCCTTCTGAAATGTAACTGAAATAAAAGAGTATTCAGTGTTTGTAAAGATTCTATCTGCAAATCTAAAGTTCTCAAAACTGCCAGAAAATAAAGGTTAGAATTACTCTTTAACATTGACTTTACGATATCAAATAAAAAGTGAATACAGATATAAATAATTCGTGTAGTAAATCGCTCTTCTCAAGAGGACATCAAAAGTGAATATACTAAATCAAGATATATGTCTGTTACTATAGAATGTAACGAAATTGTTCTCAAGTCAAAGTAAAACAAAACTTAACCCTAGCTGTAAATCTGATAAAGTTACCAAACTATATCATGATGTGACTGATAAAGTTAGACGAACATGAGAAAGATAAATGTGAATAGTTTGTAGCTGAGAGCATCTTGTATTTTTTTAAAATTAGAGTTTTAACAGAGGTTAAAGACTATTTGTATTACACTCATTCCCATTTCGTTCTCTAATAACAACAACACATCTCCCAATAAACATAAAACAACTTCATTAAAATAAATTTATAGAACGGAATTGATTCATATAACTTAATATTTAGTACACAATACTAGAAAGTGTAAACACAACTAATAAGTTTAAGCACAGTTTTTACCGAATTCAACTTCACAATGAAAATTTGATGCAATAAAATAAACTGATAACTGATTAAAAGAAAGTCTAAATTCATTTTCAAATAAAGATTAATATCATTTCACTGGAATTTTATTGAGTATGAGATTATTTGATAACATATAAATTTTTTGTGTATGCAAACATGAAAATTAACTTAACGGTAGTTTTCAAGTGAAATATAGATGAGTCATTTAGTTGAATTTACGAAACATTAAGTCGTTAGTAGACTCAGAGAATTTTTCCACTAAGTGCATGAAAAATGTTTAAAACTCATGTAAAATGTTTGACACCTATACCACTTACAACAATGTAAACAATTACGCATGTCCGTATTCAATTAATAGTTGAAAATAAATATATCATTCTCCGTATATCATGAATTACTCAAAAGAATAAATATTTGCCTATATCACGTTGAATCACCAAATGCTTAACAAAAGCTTAGTATTTTATACAATTGGTTTCAATTAGATCTCGTAGGTAAACTTTCCTACGACGGATAAACTATACAGTGCATGTACTGAAGTTCCATTTTTGTTGTTAAAAGTTAAAGTCGGATATTGAAAGCATGTAATTTTTCCTTAGTACGTTGTAAAGATTACTGATGAAAGACGCAATTCATCTTTTTTCTAGTTTAAATTATAGTCTCCACAGTGACTAATGCATATCTATTTGCCTGACAAATATTAAATGAGACAAACTCTTGTTTTATATAGTATAAAAATAACTCAAAAACATCTATGATATCACTTAAATATATATGATTGTTTTCATGCATTGAGATTTTCGTTTGTCATTACAGGAACAAATCACAATAAGCTTACTGATCAAACTGATAACCATTCAAAAAATCTTATTGTAGAATGAGTTGATATAGGACTAAGAGAATTCTCTCTCATGAAATAATTCTTCGATTGTTTCAAATTTATCAACTATCAAAATAAAAGAGCTCTGATAATTTTTAATAATACCCAGTTCTGTACTTTTTCAGAGTGCTATATATATATATATATATATATATATATATATATATATATATATATATGCATATATGACCCTAGAAATCAAAACTTAAAAATTCTAAATATCTTTGTGTAATAAAATATTAGGATCCAAATAATTTTGTTCACATACACAATTATTTAGTTGATTTTCAATGTTGTTTGAACATATGTAAACAAAACGTTACATTGATTTACAAAATGTGTTATTTATAGATGGGAAAAGATGAAGTTGAAAATTTAACCATGTTCACATAACATTGATTTATTAGGGTGATTTCACAACAAACAAATTATCATACCTGAACCCAGAAATCTATACAAAGATGAATAATTGGCAGGATGCAACTGGAATAATATCCTTTAATTAAATAAATACACTTATTTCTTAAACCAAACGTAAATGGATGATCAGAACTGATGAATGCATATCGTACAGAAACTTCAAATTATACAAACTGAGGTCCACGGTCATAACATATTTATAAAAAATAAAGTTGAATCGATTCTCACACACTCCTGTTTTTGGAAAGCTGTATGGAGAGGAGTGCCCGAGAACATCTCTTTGGTAAACCAAGCTTATTAAACTAGGCTCTCAATTCGACCACATGATTAAGTGAAGGAAATACCCATATTAACATTGAACCATGTTGAGACAGAACTATATGTCATGTTTGTAATAGATTGATTGGAAGCAGACTTCATATCCTAAACCATATGACGTATTTAAAGGATGATTCGTACAGGGTTCCGCTTATAAATATGCATATGCCTTTTAATATACTTTTTGTCAACATCTCATTTCAGTCATAATTCATAAATTCAGATAAATTTATTCAGCAAATAGTTTTATAATTCCCAGATTAATATATAAAAGTTCTGTTTATGGTTTTCTAACATTTGACAAACATTTAAGGTGAAAGGCTGTTCACTAAACATCTTTTTTAAACATTATCGAAACTTACGAGTAGTTGAGGGAAAAGAAGTCCAACCAGAATATTACACAACCAATTTGTACCCACAGCAACACTTTGTGCAGCATCTCTATATTCTTGAGTGAATAGTTCAGCCACGAGGAACCAAGGAACAGAGCCTGAAAATTCCATAAGATTATTATAACTGCAGAAAGGCAAGTTATATTAAGCAAGCGATTCACTTGCTTTAAAATGTGCATATTTGATTAATGCTAATTTTTACCTGTTATATGATTACAGATCACTAACTTCTGTTTATCAGCAATTTTAGATATCTCACGCCTTTAGACTCACACTAATTTTTATGGATACGTTTATTCAACTATTTTCTATATTTTCTAATGAGCTGATGTTACTCTACGATTTTCAATAATTATTGATCAGCTATCAAAGGGTTTTTCTTTACCTTACTCATATTAGTCTAAAAAACAACCGTAAACTTTTCGCAGGACCGTTTAAAGCACTATATATGAAATTTCTAGTCACTTAGTAATAAAGTTCCTTTTTGGGTTAAATAGCTGTAAACACGATGGTACTGTGATGTATGCTACTTATATCTGTCGATATAAGTAGTATGTAACACCGATCATAAATGGAATGTCTGTCGAAAGAAGGTTAAGAAGATTGAACTAAAGAAAACAAAACTGGAAACATAAAGGAATTGAGGATTGAGCGAATCATGAAAGATGTACAAATGAAGTATTTAATGTATGGTTTTCATAATTTATGAAGACCTTGGCCTTTCCCACCCGAGCCTTCATTCACTACAATACAGCCGCTGTTGATAAAATCACAGAAAAGAAACTTGTCTTCACTGAACCGTCCAATCTATCGACAAAGTATCTTCTTTCAGTACCAAATTCACCTATATAAAATTTATTTGAACCTGGATATCTAAATAAATGTTAAAGTGTCCTCACATTTTGTAAACATTCTAACGTATATTAACATTTTGATTTCTGTTGGAAAGCAATAAATTTTTAATGAATTACTCCACTGCCAATATACAGATATTTTGAAAACAAACTTTCAGAGTTAATTTAAACACTACTAACTTCAACAACTATTTGACTCTGTTTAATGGGGAACTAAGAATGTAACCGGAAAATATAATAAAGATCATAAATCATGAGGGGTGAAATTATAAAGATAAAATCAACAATTATTCGTTGTATACAAGTGACAGTGATCACAGACATCATGAGAAGTAGTGAAATCTAGTAAATTTCTTACTTTAATCTACAACTGGGTGGAATTTTATAGTGAGGTTAATTGTTTATTTGATGGAACATTAAAAATATTAATGAGAACTTCGTCAATAATTAGTGTCCTGCAGTGTCAACTATTCAAGCAGATGCTTGTGGAAAATGTTTTTTTCTTTGATCTTGTTAACAACAGTAAAACTGACAGATTTTTTCCTGTGTACTTTACATCATATTTTAAGTTTACGCCTAACAAGCACACTTTATTCCGAAATCACGAAACATCATTGTTTGACCAGATTCTTTTCGCTTTATATTTACTTTAATTTGAATAACAACGTTAGGCAAATATAATTGCATCCGTAACTGCGTTGATTTCATTCAAAACAACACTTTTGTGATCTTGAAACATGTATTTGTCGGACACATTTTTACCAGCGATAGCAGTTTTATAAACCAAATTACGTTATTACTTCGTTATCTTCAGTTCTATACAAATATTTAGGGGTGGTTAGTGGATGACGTTATTTTTTATGAACTGATCTTAAATTTTTAATCAACATTGTTTGGTTTGTTGGTGTTTTCTAACACACAGACGGTGAAGCTTACTTTGATGTCAGAATTTCGCAATAGGTTTGCGAAAATTGGAATAAGACCTCAAAGTAAGCACGCAACTAATGCAATTTATAAATTTCACATTCACATTCACAGTATTCTAATTGCAGATAACGACCTCTATAGAAGAGTAGCAGATGTTATAAGCAAACAAAATTATTATTATTTGCATACGTTTAAGTTACCATGAAAAAGTTATGTATTTACGTACAAGCTGTACACAATGTTGTTTATTGGTTTTGTATGTTACCCAGATAAGTTGCCCTAGCTTTTTGACAGATACCCTTGATTAAAATTCGGTTTTTATCAAATGATTAAGTAACAGAAAAAAATTGTTTATATACCTGGGCCAAAGGAGAATCCTGAAACAAATAGGTATAATACAAGAATAGAAATGTAGGTTAACCAAGATGTATGACTGAACTTCTGAACTGACAAAACTGTTGTGAATGTAATTAAACTGACTAAGCATACTGAAAATCCAACGAGTAATAGCATTCGTCTGCCTCCTCTGTCAATAACACATATTGACATAATTGTTCCTAACACAATAACTGCTCCAACCCCAAGATTGACAAAACTTGCGTCTCTGTTGGTTAGGCCAACACTTTCGAATAGTGAAACAGAGTAATACAAAACCTAAAGTTAAAAAATATAAGAGGTCCAATATTAATTCAAGCAAAGAGGTTTTTTATAAATCTGCGTATTGTCTTGAATCAAACTTTGCATGACATAAACCTGATTACTCTCTTACTGAGCTTAATCCGTTGACAAACCTCGAAACGGCGAATGGTTTGAACAGTTATATACACCTTTACTGAGATGAACGTTTAACAATTTGAGAGAGAAAGATAAGTTATAAAGACAATATAACCTCTACTTATTTTGTTTCGTTAGACTGGTTTTATCATCCTGTGATGTTTTAAAGTATAATCATAAAATGCGTTCAAAGCACTTACAAACATTTATTCAGTTAGAAACTAATGTAATTAAATATTATTGCAATATAATGAACGTTTGAATACAGTTCAGAAAGTGAGTAAAAAGACTGAAAATGTATACCGTACTCAAAAGAACGAAAAGCGGTACATTACCAACAAAACTGATAATTTGTTGGATAAGATGAGACATATAAACAGCCCTTTACTAATACAATTCCTTAGTTTATGTGGGTGTAATTAATGAGTTTCAAATAAAATGCATTTATATTTGATCCCAATAAAGTATTCACCTGCTTATAAGAAATAAACCTTTAGATTGAAATAAGTTTTTATAACTTCTGCAACTATCTAAACGGCTAAGCGATGTATGAGGTGGAATATAAATTCTATTTTTTCTGTATACAGAGAAATAGAATATTTTCAGATAATTAAATTTTTTAAAAATGATTGTCAAAATTAAAACTTTTCGCGATGCAAGCCGACAAATAAACATAAAGGCATTAGAACAGCTATCGTATTGCATGTCAGCCCTATTACCACGGCAAGTAGTCAAACCCGCAGCCCACTTTGTTGGCTTTGTAAGTAGTTTGTTTTTTCACTAGGCTGAGAAAGAATAAAACATAAAATTATGCTTTTGTTTGATGTCATTTATACACTTATTTGCTATTAACAAATCTCAGGATTTCTGGGAAACTGTCTCTTTTATCAGCTGTTTCATGTATGAGCATTAATTGCGTTAAACAAAAATCTAGTCTCAGACAGGACGGCAGATTAACTTTGATAAGCTGTTAATACAAAAATAATTTTAAGATAAAAGGCAATCAAAATGTGGGACGATCGGATGCCGGTTTTTCATCATAAAATTCTGTATGTTTCAATTTCAATGACTTTGATGTTTTATGTGTTTTTTAAATTCATTATTTATAAAAAGAAAGTGGATGTGCTAAAATGTGTCTGAAAGGTTTTGGCGGAAAGATGAGAATGAGACCATTAAGTTGATGATCAAATTAATAAACCAAGCTGATTTATTTATGACCCGCAGAAATATCAGGTTTTAAATATCACGGCTTCGTAAAATGAACTTTGAGGCTTCTACAGTTTTCTAAACACATTTGTTAATACGAGACAAAGTGCCGAAATATTTTACCTTCAAAAATTTAAGTGATTAACCAAGATGTGTATTATAACTTGACCCATCATATGACATAGCAATTTTTATTCAAACTTTACTAAACATTGAACTTTGATATCTTATTAGTTGTAGTGAAAGCTCATAATGACAATGTTGAGACCATGATGACTAAAAATATGGCCTTTAAATAATACATAAATTTGAAACTATACCAACGAATATAAAAAATAATCGTTTGATCCATTTGCGTAGGGGTAAAATTGGTTAATATATACTTTCCTGTAAACGACGACTGACTGATACAATGAATTTTGGTTTCTTGTACTTCTAAGAGTCTTTATTTACCGATTACTGCAAATCAAGATTTACTTATACATGATTCCAACGTTCAAGTCTTAATAGAAATATTATAGAATTTAATTGTGAAACCATCCAAACAAATCTATGCTCTACATGCCTAGTCTAGTCGCAAAAGTGTTTGTATAAAATGATTACTTTCTTGATTGGTGACGAATCTTGAACAAACAAGAAAAGAAACAGCTAGCTTGGTGTGGCGTTTGTATGAACTAATGATTCTTCTCTACTCGATGTTTGTCTGATTTTGGATTTTAAATACAGTACGTTCGTCTGTACTCACACAGTTCTGTGAAGTTTAAATTGCTCTGACTCTTAGATTCCTGGTTCGTCTAAAAATTCAAATACTTCTAATTATCACACTGGGTTATGCAACTTGAAATTAAATAGCCAGTATCTAAACTAATCTGATAGTGATGTTCATTAAAATATGTTATTAACGCTTTCAAGTTAAATTGCTTGTTATCATTTAGAATAAATTTAAATTATGTATCATAATTGTAAAAGTAATCAATCAGTAACTTACACCATTGATTCCTGAGAGTTGCTGCCCGAAATGTGGAATAAGGGCAACAAATAAACCCCATCGGAGATGTTGAACTCGAAATAAGTTACCCATTCCAAAGTATTGTTTAGTGTTATATTCCGGGTCTCGTTGAAATGAGTCAAGCTCCATAAAGACATCATAGTTCTTACCTCTTAGTAACAAAAGAGCTACAGTGTTTAAAGAGTTTAACTAACGAAAAAGTACCATGTTTTGCAGCATCTTTGTCTCCCTTTACTAAATACAAGTAGCTAGGACTTTCAGGACAAAAAGTCATGAGTATCACATGCAAAAGACAAACAGGAGCACAAAGACCTGAAACGGGATCATAAAAATGATATTATTACCTAACAAGAATGGCCAGAATTTATCCGTTCCCATTACTTGAGACAGACCTAGGACCTGTGATAAAAGAATGGCCAGCACTGTAACAAATTGATTCAGAACCCCTGCCGCACCACGTGACTTTACTGGAGCAATCTCCGAAAGGTATGTAGGTGTTACAACTGTATAAGCACCTAAAAACCATTCGAAAACATTTCAAAACGGATACCTGCAGAAAGACCAACTATAAATCTTCCGAATATGATAGCCTCGAATGATCTCAAGCACACCGAAACCATAATGAGTACAGATCCTAAAATTGTTGGAATGGAAAGAAGAAACAATGTTTTTCTTCTAAATTTTAAAGTCATTTACAGTTTAAAGACATACCGACCAAGTCTGTTAGCTAAAACTCCACCAAACAGGCCCCCAAATAACCCGCCGATAACGAATCCCGTTACGCATATTGATAAAATCACTCTCACGCATGAAGAGCCACATGTGTATCGTCTTTCATCAATAACTTTCTGCGTAAAATTTTGGATGAGCTTTGAAAATATCCTCATCATTTTTGAAGGCCTACCGATAATGGTGCGTTGATAACTCCTGTATGATATCCGAATACGAAAGAACTACCAATAGTTATGGAAACGTAAGTAAAGTATAAGCGCCAAGGAGGCATTAGAAGCAGAAACTCGTAACACTTTTGAAAGTGTTATTTTATGATCTATTCAATGTCCAATACGTTTGACCTCAATTCATTAACATCATCAATTTTTATTTTTCTTTCAATCCTCATCATTAAATAAACAGAACAAGGCTTCTAGAAAGGCACGAACAGGTTTGAACACAATATCTTGTATTAAACTAACTGAGTAATTAATATCCTAGCGAAACGAACCTGTAAACGTACTAAACTCGCTCCAAGTGTTTGTTTGTCACGCATAAAACATTTATCTGTCCACGGGTGGTAGATCCTCGTAATATTACCGGCATTCTATATAGTGCAGATCGAATCTCTACCATATTCGGTTTCTGCATTTGCGATAGAGTAAGTGATGGGTCATAGAAATATCGTAATATCGAAACCACCAATTGCAGTGTGCCAACGCGAACTCCTTCAAAAAAAGCCTTATAATTTGCGAAAGCAAAGTTGGCAACCTGTTCTACGTTGGTATATTTCTCGCTTGATCCCGAAGTGATTAAAGGTTTTCTCAAACTTCATAGTTACACCGGTCACCGGATAGATACATTTCCTGACGAAGAATAAGTCACTCCCTATAGTTTAGTAGAAGTACTGCAGCGGAGTCCTATCGCTAACACTTCAAGAAGACTTCGGACTCAAAGTTAACCCCCCTTCATATGCGTTTTCCGAATCTTCAAACGTTTTTTTATGTTTCATTGATCTTATAGGGGAATTTTATGACTTTGCTGACGCACATGAAGAATATGGTGATTTTATTTCAGTCTAAACAGCTTGTCGGAGTAGTACAGTGCTTAGTCTGTTAGTAATAGGTAGCAAATTATCGCTGTTTATAAAAGAATATATTTAGTGTCGGCAGGTGTTTACATCTTTGGCACATAAATGGGTTTGCCTCGAAATGGAAACTCATTCATGGGCGAAATTAAATAGTCCAGAGCACAAGTATAGTGAATCATTTATTTGCCTAGTATTACTTTCCTGTTGCATTTCATAACCACAAATAATCTATTACGCATTTGAAGCGTACTTTCAACATATAACTCTAAGGTATCAATAACTCTACAAAGCGATGACAAAGCGATGTCATAAAACATTGTCTCTACGGGACAACTTGTGTTTTCAAAATCTCGCAGGGCAACTCCAGAAAAGACTAGCAATGATTATGAACGGATATGGCGTTTTCAGTTTAGAAGAAGCCAATTCTTCATAAACTCCATTTCTGTTCTTGTATCCACTATTCCGATAGTGACGATTCTGATCGTACTGGTGGTTATAAGAGAACTACTGTAAGGCTCAACTCAAACCCTTACCCTCTATTCCGTATGCTAGTTTGAGAATCATGGTTACTCACTCCATAACTGATCCATTAAATACATACAGTCTGCTTTCTATAGCTGAAAAATCACTGTAGATTTCACACCCTACCCTTTCAAACTCACAAGGTTTTGATGTGCAAGAAAAAACTGTGCTCTTATTTTTGTATACTTCAAATTACATCCCCGAACACGACGGAACGCGCTTAGCATTCCAACTGAGTTTTGGAAAACTTCAAAATGGAGAGATGTTTGAGAGCATCTGAAGGCGATGAGTTAAAATCGACCAACTAGATTATATCAGGTCTTACAGTAAAACTTGAAATATCCTGTCGTAGCAAAAAATGTATGAACTTGCATGTGGCCTAGCCGGCAACTGTTATCATGTTATGCCCAAATATATGTATTATTTCGGTAACCTATATCTCTTTGAAGAACTATTGTAAATTAGAAAATTTCTTCGAACTCGACCCAAAGTGAAGGTGCACAAAAGCGTTATCTGGTATCAGATCATTAAAGTCAGATATATTGAGTAAAATTCTAACAGCTTATATAATTATTCGTCTGAGAATTTACGATACCTCATTACGATGTGAACTGCTGCCTGCTACGATATCACGCGAATTCGCATATCACGAGGTTGTTTAGGAGCAAACTCATGGTCCTGATCAGGAGGTCTGAAATACCAACAATTCAGGGGAAATATATCACAACGAAGCCTAACTGTTGAAGAACAAACGGTGATAATAATATTGACGAGGCACTAGATCTGTAGAATTGGAATGTACTATGATATTAGTAGTGCTCTAATAATAGACCTGATCCTAAAATTGCGGATTTTTAGTGATACAACTGCCTAATCTATAATGTTTTACGTGGAAGTCACATCATTGTCTACACCAACTCATCGCGTAATAAGAATTATCAACATATGATGAAGGACACATTTGGGCTGGATATAGAACAATATATTTAATATGGACAGAATATTATGTTACTACGCTCGATAGTGACCACACTTGCGAGTCTGAGTCATGTCATCTGGTCAATTCGAATCCTTTCCATTGCCTGTTCCCGCCTTCCCCATCGTTGTGTTTATCTCTCCGGTAAATGTTCATTATGTATTCTCCCAGTTGTTTCGTGTTCAGCCTTAAGGTTTGTGTGGATAGGGCCCAATAACACCACGCGTCTACTACGATACCGGTTGGTACTTTGGTGTCCTGGTATGTAGTCGCGTTTGGTATATTTCGGGTTGCTTATCGGATATTTGTTGATAGTATGGATCCATCGTGTGACTTACTGTGACTGGACATAACCTACAACCAGAAAATGAAGTTTCACAATCAGATAGATCAGTACTTATACAAACTAACTGTTGTTTGCTTGTGTCTATGCGTAGGTTAGGTTGTAGCAGGACTGTGCCAATGATTGGCATGAAAGTTTGTGCGAACACGAATCCAGAGAATGGGTTTGTGTAAACTCATGTTGAAATAAATGTATCCGCTACCGTGTGTGGCGATCAGTTTCCCATATTCCACTTTTAGTTTGAAGACCGGTTCGTGCGAATAATCTTTCGAATTCGAGGGAAAACCGCGTATTTCTGAGCCAATGTCAATGAGGTGGCGAAATTTCATCATCAAATCAGTGATACATTACAGACGGCCAAGTTCTCAATTTCTACTAAAGCTTGTCGGTGGGGATGTTTCTTAAATGGTTCATCGTAATAGGTTTGGCCTTAGGAAAACTGAAGTGTTTATCTGCAATCTCGAGAGGACTTACCATACTTAATGCGGTGCCAAAACAATCAGGATCATCTGCATCTTGTGGTCTGGATACGGATCGTTTTCTTGATGAGCTTTGATGCTTCATTAACAAGTTTTAATAGCATTTATGTGCTTAAGAGAAATAAGTTTGTTAAACATCAAGGTCTAGCAAATATGACCTGTGAATAACGTATATATATCGACTGGTGACGTAAGCAGGGACTGAATAGTTATCTGAACCTAGTTTTTCATATTCTTTCTTCACCTTACGTTTCAATCTGCTTTAAACTATGCACTATCTCATGATATGTTTTCTCCCATCCACTGCCCCCCTAATTTCCAACTTCCGAGTTCCATTGCCAAACAATGAAGTTAACATCGAGGAAACTTACAATGGGTTTAGTCCATAAATTTTCGGTAATCATAAGGTAATTTTAGATGTTTCATTGCATGTCACCCACACAATTGCCCGGATTCACTCAATCGTTCTCATTCGAGAGAGCGACAAAAACCTCAACAGCACCAAGCACCCTGGAATTAGTTGCCATACTACATCTTTTATTCTGAATGCTTTTGGATCATTACTACTAGTCACAAATTGCCTCATATATGTCAAATCTACTGAATAATCTAAGTCCCGAAAATATATCAGAATAGCCTAACTATTTTTCTGGATGTTTTACTGTACTTATCAAATATATATGCTCACTGAGACTAATCGTATATATTGCATACGAACCACTCCACAAATGTTTTTGCTATAAGAAATATTTAATAACTTCATGCTATTAAGGAAAAGTGTGTTGTTTAAGGACATTTCTAATTTTCGATTGCTTTTGCGTCATATTTGTAAATGTTGCTTGGCTAAATACAGGAACCTATGAAAATTTTATAGCTCATCACATTCCTACCTGAAGTTTCACAAGGTGTCTTAAGTTTAAAAATATTTTTATGGCAATGTTTATTATTTTTAACTTGTCATACACCTCAACAACCTACATGTTAAACCTGACCCGTACATGCATTGCATTATATCTCTGTCTTCCGAATTTGAGAATCATTTGAATCGCCTCTAACATTTTCAATAAACCCGTCGTAGTCAATATTCCTATACGTATTTGGGCTTATGAATTGGTCTATCATATTTGTAGCCCAAAAAGACGAACGTAGTTTAAATAATAAAGTTACAAATTCAGATAATATCATACTGCACCAGTATAATAACTGAACTATCAGGTAGTTGTTGGCTAAAAATATTTAAAATCAAAACTCCGGAGCCCGCTACTAAAACTAACACTAATACTATGTAGATTTTTAAAATTACACTTAGTAATATAATCAAGCAGCTCGGATTCTTCACGCTCCAAACTTCTGCTATCTCGGAAGCACCTAGAACAAAAATACCTATTTTCAACTGGCTAATGTTCAATTAACACTACAACTAGTTAAACTTAATGATTTCAGGGTATCGTCATAGAACATTGTCATGACATCGGATGAAAAAATATATAAAAAATCGGACAATAAAAGATATAATTATTACTTTTCTTAACACTTTACTCTCTATATGCACTTTTTGTTCTAGTAAACAGCCTTCCTTATCACAACCTCGACTTGTTTCCCTTCATTCGAACTCACTCCGCCTTGATCAATATTACTGCATTCTCTCATCTGGAGTTTCTGATCATATTTTACTCTAGCTACAAAAGCTAGTATGAATGAATCTAATAATTTATCATACCTCTGTCTGTTCCACTACAAAATGTTAAGTATTGTTTATCGTTCATATCCAAGTGTCTTGCCGCTCCTCTGTTCCTCTTTTTTTCAGAATCTTGCTCTGAGGACACAGATAAGAAAATTCTGATATCTGGAACAAACTCGACGTACGCGTTTTCTCAGGGTCATAAGTCACACCAAGCGTTCTATAAACCTACT